TGTTTTTGCTTGGTGGGGCAGGGGAGACACCAGAGTGTGGAGGAGAGGTGACCAGAAGGTAGGGAGTGAGTGGGAAAGGACACAAGGGATGTAAACCGCATGACAACTCCGGCCGCACAGGCGCAAACTGCCCTGATTCGACTCAGGCCTGGGACCCTTCGTGGGACTCTGTCACCCCTCCCGCTCCCCTGCGTGGATTGCACTCACAGGGGGGTTCTGACACGGCTGTGTGCGAGGACTTGTGGGAACTTCTTGAGGACGCCGATGGTGAATGGCTGGTGTTGAGGCCCGAGGTGCCCACGTCAAGTGTGTTAAAGTGCTGCTGGGCGTCCAGGCTTGAGCCCTTGTCCTGAAACACACAAAAGTCCACGTGTCAGCAGCAGGATGACAGGAGTGAATTACATGACTCTAGTTCTGAATACGTAGAGAAATGTGGAGGCTGCCGAGACCGACGCAATAACACTCAGGTGAACATGTACACAGTTACGTAACACAGAAGTCATCGAGCGGCTCACAGCCTAGAAGCAGCATCTATTACGCTTTCTCACCTTTCATTTTGATTTTTTACATTTTCATAACTTACTCTGCGTTTTATTTTTTCCTTAAAATTGTCACCTCATCCCCCAGAATGCTGGCTTTCTGAGAAGAGAGGAAGGGTTGGGTTCTAGGAATAAGGTTGCTGTTGGCACCAGATTGTTAACGCATCCAATGAAACAAATGCCTCCTTCCAGGCACGTCCCACACTGCCTCCCACGGCAGCCTCAGTGACCCCGTGTGCAGAACAGGCAAAGGGCCAATGGTTTCCTATCTTTTGACCTCTGGCTCCTAACTGATCCTGGCTCCCAGGAGGTCTCTGCCTCACATATAGCATGATGAGAAAATGACTGGGACCATTCAACCGTGAGGGACCATCTCTCCATCCTGCCTGGTTTAGGTGTCATAACATAAGCACACAAAAATGGGGGTTAGGATCATTTTTAAGCAAAAGAAAACTTTTCATAGTGATTACTCTCCCGAGCCATGTTCCTACCAAGTCTTAAGAAGGATGGAAATTTCCAGCATCGACTGGGCTATGCTGACAGGCTGGTCTATGTCCCATGGTCTCAGGCATGAAATCGCATGTGTATGAGTCTATGTGGCTGTTCTGTCTCTTGAGTCACGGCCCCAGTGAGGGTGGACACTGTGTGTGTGCGCAAGACGGGCTGAGTGATTGCTACGAGACCCACAGGACTTTGCACGAAACGGAATTTCAGGCTGTACCTGGATGTGTTGTAATGTCAGTTCTGACACTGTGCTCAGTCACAGAGTCTCCCCCCCTGGATCAGGCCCCTCAGTGGGGTGCCTGGACCACGGCTGTTTACAAATTGTGTGTTCCCGGCCAGCAGAGAAACAAGTCCAGGAAGTGAGAGTCAGCACCGAAAGACTTTACAGCCATGTGACATCACTGCACATCACATCCCAGCCTGGGAATTCGCATTTTACAAATGTGGCGGTCAGTGCAGATTTAAAATTTAAAAAATAAACTTGTCCGTCACCACAGATGGTTTGAGAAGGTCTGTCCTAGAGCTTCTATTTATTTATTTATTATTATTATTTTTTAAATATTTTTTTAATTGGATCATAATTGATTATACATATTTGGGGAGTTCAATGTTGATGTATATTGATCAAATCTATTATTATAAATCATATTCTTTATGACCCTTATCAAATCTTTCCCCATCCCCTTCTCCCTCCCCCGGCCCACCTTGGATAACCCTAGATTTCTTTTCTCCTTCAGAAAGAGTTACAGTTACTTTGTTGATTTGTTGCCTAGATGATCTGTCCAATGCTGAGAGAGGTGATCAGGTCCCCCACTATTATCATAGAGCAGATGCTGCTTCTGTCACTCTGGAATGGGCTTTGTGGAGAGAGACGTCCACTTCTTTTCTTTGGTCTCTGCTGGTGACTCTCCTTGTGACAATGTACTTGAGTGGCTGTCAGGCCATCTGCATGGTGGTTGTGGTGTCTAGCCACTTTTCTGGCAGCTGTGGCTATTGTGCTGAATTCGTGGGACACTCACATGGAAGTGGTGTTTTCTGCGTGCTCCTTGCCTGGATACAGGAGGAGGGGTCGTCCCTGGCTCCATGCCTCAGGACCCCAGGCAGGCCCCACGGCAGCTGCGGCACACTTGCTTGCAAGAGGAGGGGTCAGTCCTGGCTCCACATCTCAGGACCTGGGCAGGCCCTGTGGCAGCGGCAATGTGCCTGGTTGCAGGAGGAGGGGTCAGTCCCCGGTTCCATCTGTTTTTACATTCTAAGATGTTGTTGCAGAGCATTTGGGTGGGAGGGGGAGAGGGAAAGGGGGAAGGAAGTAGGGTGGCAGAAGGAGGAAGGAGGGGGGTGTGGTTGAGGCTAGTGGTAACCCCTCATTCCTGCAGAGGAGACCAGGGGGCTTCCAGTGGTGGCTTCATCATTGCCGGGCTGAGTGCAGATGTCAGGGAGGTGAGGCTGAAGCCCTCAGCCCCCCTCTGCCCTGACTTGGGAGCCTGGGGTGTTTCCTGTGGCAACTCAGTTGTAGTCACCACACTGGTTGTGGGTGTTGGGGGGCATGGCTGCGGCCCCCAGCCCTTCCCCATCCCTGGCTCGGGGGCTCAGGGCGTTTCTAGTCCTTCTGGTTTTATAGGTGTTCTTTGGTGAAGTGAGATCTTTACTAGTTAATATCAAACCTTGTCTCTGATCTGTGGGTATTTTGTTTTTTCTTTCAGTTTTGTGTTGGATTATTTGCTGTTCCCACCACTTAAACTTTGCAGTGGAACTAATTGGTTGTCTTTTGCTTGCTTCTAAAATGAGGGAACTTCCTGTGGGGACCAGCACTTGAGCCCTGTAGTTGAGCTAAATTGCTGTTTTGCTGCTGATTCCCTGGGGAAGGCTTTTTGTGCAGCTCAGGTTTTAATGGTTGACTTTATAGCACTTCCAGGTCTTGTGAGATCCAGTACAGCTGGATTGTGTAGAAACTCTGGTCTGGACCTGAATCTTTTCAGCAAACTGCTCCCCTGCAGTTCTGTATTTCTGACCAGTCTACACAGGGTGGTCCTGCGCTGACAGGAGGGCAGATTGGCTGTCCTTGCTGTGCCCCAATGTTCCCGGGGTGGCCCATTTCCCTCACCACCTGTATTCCAAATGCTTCCCATGGGACGGGCTGTGTGCTGGTCCCTTGTGATGACTCACTGGCCTCAAAGTGGCTTCTATTTTCTGTTGCTGTGGCTCCTCGCTTCTAAGTGGGTCCATGGGAACCCTGTTAGTGGTCTTGCTGTCCTGGGGGCCACCAAGGCTTTCTTCTCCCCTGCCACCTCCAAGCAACTTCATACTAATGGCACAGCTGTAGCTTTTGCCAGCTCTTGCTCCATGTACTCACCAGCTCCAGCCTTGAAGCAGTCGAGGCATGAAATGGTAGGAGCAGTCCTTTCTTTCTTTCATTGTGGCTTCTCCTGCCTTCAAGCACTCTGCAGGTCTCTCCTCTTCCCCTGAGCTCCAGTGGCCCCAGCTTGGCTGTCATTGCCTTTTAATAGTCATAAATTGATTGATTTGTGGGAGAGAGTGATGCTAAGGACAGTCTATTCTGCCATCTTGACCAGAAGTTCTAGAGCTTTTATTTTTATTTTTTTTTCCTTTTTGTCTTTTTTCATGACCGGTAACGGGATCGCAGCCCTCGGTGTCGCGCCCGCACCGCGCTCAGCCAGTGAGCGGACCGGTCTCTATATGGGATCCGAACCCTCGACGGGAGTGCCGCCGCACTCCCAAGCGCCGCACTCAACCGCGTGCACCACCGGGCTGGCCCTAGAGCTTTTATTTTAAAGGGGGTTCCTAATCTGGCGCTGGATATTGTATTTGTCTTTATTCATATGTGCATTTTTTTGAGATAATGCACCGAGGGCCCTAGGATTCCTGAAGGATCAGAAACCTCCCTGGTGAATTTCCAACTGTCTTCAGCGTGATGTGTGGTGTGTCTAACACCTACCATTAACAGTTTAATTCCGTTCTCTGACACGAAGCATGATGTATTACGTGATGGAGCTGGGTCATAAACACATCCATAAACACCCACAGCTGAATTGCACCAGTGTGCTGGAGATAAATCACCACCTCACACACTGTGTGTGGCATGTTGGCTGGGAGGCGCTGCTCTCTGATCTTCAAATGAGATTTCTCCTTCCTCCCCGCATGGTCCTCGAGGGAGGAGAGGTGCTTTTGTTTGATCACAGCAGGTGGAAAGGCTGATCCACTGCTGCTGCACCAGCCTCTGGCCAAAGACTGGATTCTAGGTCACTGGACACCCTGGAACTTGAACTTCACCATTTCTTTTCACATTTTTAAAAAAGTTTATTTATTTATTAATATTATTTTTTTTACATTCTAAAATGGTGTTGCAAAGCAGTTGGAGGGGGAGAGGGGAAGGCAAAAGGAAACAGGGTGGGAGAAGGAGGAAGGAGGGGTGGCATGGTTGAAGCTGGTGGCACCTCCTCATTCCTGCACTGGAGACAAGGGGGCTTCCAGCAGTTGCTTGGTCATTGCTGGGCTAGATGCATATGTTAGGGGGGTGTGGCTGAAGCCTCTGGTCCCCCACTGCCCTGGCTTTGGAGCCAGGGGCACCTCCTGCGGCAGTTGGGTGGTTGTTGCTGGGCTGGTTGTGGGTGTCGGGGTGGTGTGGCCAAGGCCTGAGGACCCCCATCACCCTAGCTTTGGGAGCCAGGGGTGCTTCCTGTGGTGGCCTGATGGTCATCGCTGGGCTGGTTTCAGAAGGCAGGGGGCATGGCTGAGGGTCCTAGCCCTCTCTGTTCCCTGCTTGGGCACCCAGGGGGCTTCTGGTCCTTTTAGGTGTTACAGGTGTTCTTTGGTGAAGTGAGACCTTTACTAGTTAATATCAAACTTTGTCTCTGATCTGTGGGTATTTTGATTTTTCTTTCAGTTTTGTGTTGGATTATTCACTGTTCACACCATTTAAACTCTATGCCAGAACTAATTTGTTGTCCTTTGCTTACTTCTAAAGTGGAGGAACTTCCTGTGGGAACCAGCACTTGAGCTGTGTGCTTGAGATAAATTGCTGTTTTGCTGCTGACTCCCTGGGGAAGGCTTTTTGTGCAGCTCAGGTTTTAATTGTTAACCTTATGTCTACTTCCGGCTCTTGTGAGGTCTGGTACACCTGGGTTGTGTGGAAACTCTGATCTGGGCCTGAATCTTTTCAGCAAACTGTACCCCTGCAGATCTGTCTCCACTGAGTGGTCCTGCACTGATTGGGGGGCAGATCAGCTGTCCTTGCTGTGCCCCAATATTCCCCCAGTAGCCTGTCTCCTCCACTGCCCATGCTCCAAACACTTCCCTTGGGATGGGCTGTGCACCAGTCCCTTGTTATGACTCACTGGCCTCTGAGTGGCTCCTTTTTTCAGTTGTTGTGGCCCCTTGCTCCTATGAGGGTCCACAGGAACCCTGTTAGTGGTCTTGCCGGCCTGGGGGCCACCATGGCCCTCTTCTCCTCTGCCACCTCCAAGCAACTTCATAGGAAGGGCACAACTGTGGCTTCTGCCGGCTCCTGCTCTGTATGCTCATCAGCTCCATCCTGGATGCGGCTGGGGCTCAAAATGGTAGGAGCAGTCTATTCTTTCTCTCATTGTGGCTTCTCCCACCTTCATGCACTCTGCAGGTCTCTCCTCCTCTTCATCTGAGCTCTACTGGTCCAAGCTTGGCTGTTACTGCTTTTTAATAGATGTAAATTCATTGATTTGTTGGAGAGAGTGACACTGGGGACTGTCTATTCCACCATCTTGACCAGAAGTCCCAAACTTCACCAGTTCTGAGAGGCACTCTCCTACCCACATTTGAGCATATCTAAAACTGGGAAATGTCCTTCAGCTGATGAAAAGAAATCCTCATTTCACGCATTGATGGGCAGCATTTTCTGTTTCTCACTGGGCGGTAAAATAGTGGTGGATCGGGCCGGCCCGGTGGCGCACTGCTACAGTGCGCCGCTTGGGAAGTGCGGCAGTGCTCCCGCTGAGGGTTCGGATCCCACATACAGACCGGCCGCTCACTGGCTGAGCGAGATGCGGGCGCGACACTGAGGGTTGCGATCTGTTGCCGGTCACAAAAAAAGACAAAAAGGAAAAAAAAAATAGTGGTGGATCTACCATTTCTTTTCACATTTTTAAAAAAGTTTATTTATTTATTAATATTTAAGCCTACGTTTTGTGCTTTTTGATAGATGTAAATTCATTGATTTGTTGGAGAGAGTGACACTGGGGACTGTCTACTCCACCATCTTGACCAGAAGTCCCAAACTTCACCAGTTCTGAGAGGCACTCTCCTACCCACATTTGAGCATATCTAAAACTGGAAAACGTCCTTCAACTGATGAAAAGAAATCCTCGTTTCACGCATTGATGGGCAGCATTTTCTGTTTCTCAGTGGGCGGTAAAATAGTGGTGGATCTTCCAGTTGATGGCTTTTAGCTGTGATGAGATACAACACTCCCTCTCTTTCTAGCTCTCTCTTTCTCCCCCCCCCAACATTTATGTCTCTTTAAGAATGACCTTTGAGGAACAGGGCTCTGGTCTACTAGCAGACGGTCTCTAAGGTTCCCTTGCATTGTCTAACAAACCAGGGGGGGACCAGAGAGCTTGGGTGAAGAGGAAGGAGCCATCAGCCTTTGTGGAGGGAAAGGCCTTTTTATAGGGGAGCCCCCGACACAGAGCTGTTAACTGAGACTCCCCGACACAGAAAGTGCACCTGACAACCGGGAGGCTGCGTGAGGGGTGGTCTACCCACAGCACACCCGAGAATTGGAGGCAGAGCAGCAGACCTGGGCTAAGGGAGGGGCAGGGACACTCCAGTTATTCCATGTCTCAATGGGATGATGGACTAACTGTCCAGCTTTTTATCAGTGGGAGAAATACAACGTGGACTCCTCGCAGCCGTTCTCGTAAGCTTGGGAAGTCACCAAACCATTCTCTGTGTCCAGAGGCAGTTTCTAACCCAGCTCTGCACCTTCCAGCCCTTCTCGTGCTTCTATGCCCATCTGAAGAACGAGGGCAAGGACGGTGCCCACCTCGTGGGAAGGTCATGGGGGGTAAACAAGAAAATACCCAAAAAACATTTTGAACACCATAAGAATGTAGCAAGTGCTCACTTTGAACACCATGAGAATGTAGCAAGTGCTCAATAAATATAAGCTGCCGTGTTTTTGCTATCGCTATTTTTATGACAGCAGCTCATGGGAGGTTCTGCCTGGCCGAGCATGGCCTTTGTCCCCACAGCAGGGACAAGCTTACCTTCAGTGCTGAGGGGCGGATGGCCTCGGACGGTGGGTCTTCCAAAGCCAGCTCCTGCCTCCTTTCCTCCCGGACGTCCGCGTAGCTGCTCAGGAAATCAAGAGACCACAGTGGACGGAGGACATGCCAGATGTTTCTAGTCCTCCCCCAAATCTCCAGATGTGACTGTCTTCAGAAACACATGTGTATCTACAGGATAAACTTCCGCCTTTAAAGCATTAGAGCCTTTCTCATGGGAGAGTGGCACCACACTCTTTCAGTAATCACATTTCTCAGAGACTTTTCTCTCCACCAAACCTAGAACTGGCTAGACCCACCCGCTGAGTCTATGGACCTGCTTTTTCCACAGCAGGGGCATAAATCGATTCAATGTGTTGGTGCCGTGGTGGCCTCGCGTGTGAGACGCAGGCGGTGGGGACCGGGGCAGGAGAGACAGCTCTCGGAACGTCCATCCTCATTCACGCACTCCGTTCATGCCCTGCTTTCTCTGAGAGTTTCTGTCTACATTCGGGGCTGGAGGATGGAAAGGGAGAGCCTAAAGAACAACGTGTGCGTGATGTCCAGCCACCCCTGGGGCAAAGGGCCCCTGACCAGGCCCAGAGTGGGTGGCAGTCGGGGGACTGGCCGTGGAGTCAGACACCACCGGCTGCTGAAGTGCCCCAGGGAGGCTGGGAATGGAAGGTCGAGTCCCCAAGCGTGGGCATGAAATGGGATCGGGGTCACTGGCTGAGAAAGGGCAGCCTTCCTCTCTCTTCCCAGACTAGGGAGGAGCGCTTGACCTGGTGCCCGCACGTACGCACAGGTGTGTGTGCAGTGTCTGTCTGTCTCTCTAGGGCAATCCCTCTGCCCTTTCTGTACTCTTCTCTAGACCAGCTTAAAACCGATTTATGTTCTTAAAATTGCTGTATTGAGGTGGGAGAGAGAATGACTTTCTCCTTCACCTTTGGGAGCTGAGACCGCACACAGGACACGTCGATGAAATGCTGGACCTGCCACCTCCTTCAAAGCCCTGCTCACCCACCCTGGGTGGCGCTTCCCCAAGCCACCAGGGACCCGCCGGGAGAACCTCTCCCACCAGCTGCCTGGCTGTTTTTCCAGCACCACCTCAGATGCCAGCAGGGGTTTTTAAGACATTAAAAATAAAGGGGAGTATGTGTTTGAGTTATTTAGAGGCAAAATTTTAATTTTCTCCTGCAAACAGTGACAAGGGAAGGCTGGGAATGGATAGAGATGAGAGGAAAATATGTAAGTAGGTCAGCAAAGCAGTAACTTACTAAGGAATATCCTGGCAGCCTGTGAGCTCGGGAGGCTTTCAAAGGGGCCCGAGTGAAAACTCGAGAGAAGTCTCAGCCCTGGGAGCAGAGCTGGGTGTGTAACTGGATGGGGCTGAGCTCTGGAATCGTTCTGTTAATGGCAGAACACAGCCCGGGCTTGATCCTCAGGATCAGGAACCCCTGGGGCTGCTGCTGACTGGGTTTGGTGGGTGGTCAGCGACCTCATGCACCCCTCTCAGGTGCTGCAGGGACCTGGCCCTGACCCGCCGCCCGCACAGTACCTGACCACCGAGTGCGTGCACACGATGAACTCGGGCTTGGAGTTCCACTGATGGTAGGTGATGTAGTAGTGGGTCTGCAGCCAGATCCACTGCTGCCCCTTGGTCAGAAACCGGTAACAACAGGACTTCCCTTTGCCAAACTGCATCACTGTTAGAAGAAAATGGATTCTTCATGTAACTAGCGTTAATATCAGCATGATCTTTCCCCCAAGAGTTACTGTTAAAATAGAAGCTTTCAAAAAGACAATTCCAAACGTTATTTCTCTGGCTGCACTGTATTTTAAGTGACTATCAGGATAATGATTGCCATGAACCATCCTGCTATAGGGAACTGCATGGGAGCCTGAGTAATACCCCTTGTTCTGCAGGCTACAAGGGGGTCCCATGTGTGCGGCACGGCTCCATGGAAGTTCTTGTTTGTTCACCTTTGGTTGCTTGACAAGGCTTCCCAGA